AAACAGACAGAAAASTGGCTGTGGAAAACTCCCTTGGTGCAGAGGAGCATGCGGGGAGGAGGGGATGCATAGGTGGAGAAGTACAAGTTGATAAATAATTTTTCTTTCTGTCAGGTTGCTCAGAAAATGCAGTCTGTGATTTCTCACAATGATGTGTAAGACAGAAGTAACAGACACATTATCAGATTTATCCATCATTCCGACAAAACCTTGGCTGGATGTTCTGTACCTGATGCAATTCCCCTAAATGTGGGCTTTGAAGGACACTTTGATGTCATAAATATTCAGTGCCACATCTATAAAAATGTGGCAGAAGAGTGGAGGAACTTGTAAAGGAGGCACAAGTAGCCAAGTGAGGAAGGTTTATTTGTGTCGTTTCTTGTGCAATTTTCATTGCTCTGTCCTGGCTTCTGTCTGGGGTTCTTCAGCTCTGTCTGCAGATGTTCCTTAGGTGACTGATGTGAGTGAACCTGTACGTCACAAAGTTGGTTTGGGATTTGCCATCTGTCTGTGCTGCAGACCAGTTTGGAGAAGAAATAATTAGAAGTAAATGAGTGAAATGATAGAATTTGTGCCTGGCTCTCCAGCAGTGCACTTTATCTCTCCCAGCTGTTCATTTCCATTCTTTCTGGTATATAATTCAAAAAAATACAGTGGTACTAAAATTCTAGTCCCATTACTTAGAGGCCAGGAATCCCTTGCACCTTCAGCAAACAAAAATCTTTTCATCATAGCAACATTGTTTTTCCTGCTTTTAACTTTTTATTTTAGGCATGGTAATATATTTTCTCCATTTTTAAACCAAATTATTTATTGTGTTGTGGCTAAGAGTAATGTTTTTCACACTTCAGTGTGTGAAATGCTGAGTGCATAGTTTTCAAATGGGATACATGATGTTAGAGAYAGTGATACAGAAATCTCCAGTAAAGGAGAACTTAACCTAAATTATCATATTGAATTCCCAATTTCTGCAGAATGTACCCATTTGTCTAAAATCATAGCTGGTTCTTGCCCCTGCTTAAATTCTGGATCTTCATTTAGTTTCTGATGTATCTCCTGATTATTCTGCTGTGATTAGGAGGAAGCTTTCCTTGCTTGGAAAACATCAGCAGTCCCTAAGCACATATTTTCAGTGACATTTTTATTTGCAGAAAGAACATAAATGTCATAAATCTTTGAAATGTATTTTTTCAGTACTTTTTGCACATTAAGGCTGAAAYAGCTGTTTTTCTTTAATTAAAGCAGAAGACTATAAAAAAAAATAAAATCCTCATGAAATAGTTTAGTTGGGTTCAATTTCTGTTTCTTAAAGAGAAATCTTTGTACAGAGAACGGGTGGTGGTGCAGAGTGAAGGTTTGCTTGGCGCGGCGCTGGCTGAGCCACACCTTTTTTTTGGTGCTGCTCAGTACCAACATGTCACACCTTAGATGAGCAAAACAAAGCTTAGGATATGCACAGATTTCCCTGCTATTCTTGTTGCCAGTACCATCCTAAATAACATTTCATATGTGTCAGTATCCTGTCAGTCTATGCAGACTTTTGCTGCTGTCCATTTTACAAAAAACTTCCACCTGTTTGTATTTTTTAAATTCCACTCTTGGATTTTTTTTTTTTTTTTCCATTCTTTTATGTAGAAACGCATCCTGTAGAAAATCTGCAGCCGCTGCTTTAGTGGGATACAGCCCTCTGTACCTTGTTGACCCTGCACTGAGCCGAAGCATCGGGATGATGTTATTAACTGTAAGAGCCCATTTGTCAGAACGTTCTGGCAGTTTCATGTCCCTGATCTTGGACTTTCTGTGGCTCACCATAAAACAAACAACCCTTCTGCCCCCAGAAATTCTGTAATCAACACCTGGCTGCAATCCCTAACACTGAGGTGCTAATTAAAAGCGTAGCTGAAAAGGTCAGGCTATTTCAAGACAAGAACAGAATGTAAGATTAAAGGCAAAAATTAGGCTCGGGGGTGCAGCAGGGGCTAGAAGAATGAGTAGAAAAGCTGCTGCAGTAATTTAACATTCTTCTTCAAATGTCCTCCTGGCTGCAAGTTCACTTTTGACCTTAGTTTGCTCGCCTTGGGGACTAATTTAGTACAGATTTTCATACCACGTTAACTGGCCTCTCTGTATAGCTCTGAGACTTTAACAGGAAAGCAAACCTGTTCTTTTCTTACTGGGATTTCGAGCATATGGCAGAAGTCTTTTTTACTTCCTCTGCTGACAAATTGGGAGTCACTTTGATTTTTGGAGACATTTTTAATTATGTGTCTTTGGTGTTTTGTAAAACCACTGAGTTAAAAATTAATATAGCCTGAAGCAGTCATAAACTCTGTTTCCTCCTACGCAACATAGCAACAAAACTGTTTATCATGTTTTACTGTATAATTGTTACGGGTCTGCACTCATGTTCATTTTAGCTCTGATGTTTCTTTGATGCCTGGTGGAAAGTTTATTCAATGTTTCAGTCCTGATTCTTGCCTTAAAAACGAATTTCAGCATCAATCTGAATCAAGGAGCTGGCTGCAAGTTACAGGGAATGGGAATCCTCTCTTGGGAAGAAAGGCTGAGGGAGCTGAGGCTGTTCAGCCCCACTGTGGTCCCTTCCATCCTCAACCATCCTSTGAAACCAGAAATTAATTTTTTTCCATTGTATTTCCATTATTTTAATTTGACCTATTTMATCTATGGACAATATCTGCTCTACCAGCAGGGCTTTCATCCATTGCTTCTTGGAAGTACCCCCAAGTAACTCCTCCTTGTGTTAAGTCCCCTTTTGCTCTGAACCACATTAAAAAGCTCAGCTTTGTTCTGCAACCTGCTGTAGCATCATGAAAGGTGATGAAAGAAGAAAGAAACTCCAGCTGCTAATAATACCAACACCTTGAAAATGTTTTGAAAAGTAGGTCCACTGAATGTGTTGCAATAAAAGGCTAAAGGCTTTGCAGGAGGATGATCCCATTGTATCTGGCTTTTTCCYGAGTTTCAGTGCCTTGTTAATGAGAAGCCGATTCTCACTTTCAAATCCATTGCAGTCACTTGGGAGACAGCACAGGGCTTATGGATCAAAATATGTCTATAACTAAAGGAAAAGCTATCAGAAGCTGGTTTGGCAGACTTTCAGGTTTCTTTCTGTTTAAGTCCAGTGGTCACCAATCAAACAAATGGCTACAGAATATTGCAACTGATTGCAGACTTAAAGAAAAAATACCGTGACCTCATGAATAGAAAAACCTTCATTTACCGAAACCAAGTTTTTATTCTTTTTCTTTGACAACATTCCTTCTCCCTGAGGGGAAATCTTGAGACACGAAATAAATGTGTGAATCCATATTCCAGCACTCCATCATAAGCAGACTGAACCTGACAGGTATAGCCTAGGGAGGAAAGGGAAGCTTTCATAAAGCCTAAGTAGCACRGCCTGAAATGCTCAGGAAATAAGACAACTCGAAAAAGCCTTTWAAAATATACAGGGGAAGAAAAAGGGATAGAGGTACCTTTTCATTGATAGGAAAAATATGGTATTTTGTAAATGTATAATCTTCTTTAAAGTGCTGTTTAGAATCAAGACATGGAAATATTAACCAAACATCATTTAAAGGCACAAAGCAAAACTGCTTGTTGGGTGGATTTATTGATTTCTGGCTGTTGGTAACTTATACGTTTGTCAAAGGTGTTTATCCCTCTAGAATCCCATTCTCTGTTATTGGCCAAGTTGATGTCTTGGCTCTGGGGCTCCAGGGAGAAAAAACTGTATTTCCATTTTCCATGTCAGAGCTAAGAGCACCCATGATTAGCTCTATATACAAAATATGCCTTGGAAATATGACTGCTTGGGAAGGTAAAGCACAGAAACCAAGGCACAGAAGGTTTTAACCAGAAATTTTTGAAAAAATACCTTCAGATAAGTATGACTTTTCATAGGAGAATCCACATGACGGTCCAGATGTTGTAGAAACCGTTTGGTTTGCAGTACTCCTGTACCTGTTACCTTCCCTGGTGCCTGAGGATGTGCTGCCTCTGATGGCTGAGTGCAGCTGGATTTATTCTCTKAGTTTAAAACTCCCAGATTTTCACATAAATAACCCTAGAGGATGACTTTTTTTCTTTTAGTTCTATTTCAGTAACACACAAAAATGAATAATTTTGCATAAGCAATGTAAGTTTTGCCATAGGCTGAAGTACCTTAATCTACCTTGAGATGCTTTCTSTGGGGGATGCAGAATAATTTTCATAAAGTGACCATTCCTAAGTTGGGAAGTTCCCTACTCTCGTACTCTGCCACTGTGAATATTTGGACTGCCCTGGTGTTTGCCACCTGTTCCTTGGCAGAGTGACTTAGATCAGTTTGTTTCATGGAAATTCAGGAGGCTATTCCTTTGTCTCAGTAAATGAAAGTGGGAARTTCCATCTTCTTTCACGGCCGAAGCAGAAAATGGATTTTCTAGCCAAAATCAAGTCAGGACGGAGATTCTCCTTAGCCCTCCTTTTGTTGCCTATGTATTTCCAGGGACATTGTAGTTGTGTCTGGTTTATGGCATTGGCCAAATTAACTTCAGGCTGGGTTTTGACCCTTATAATTTTGTCCCTGCAAAACCTCAGGACTTCCCTGTGGTCCTGAGTCATGGAAAGGGAGGCACAGCAGGGAGCTGAAGAAATGAAATGATGCTCTGTAGCTCATACCCTTGCACTGCTGAGAACCTGATTGCACACATATATATCACTCATCAGGATAATTGCATCCAGGGGCACATGTAGTGATGCAGCCATACCTAAATCAGTCTTTTATGCTGGAAAAGAACTCCAGGATCACAGACTCCAGCCTTTAAATGGAACTATGCATTCCTGGTTCAGTGACAGTGTTTCAAAGCAGCGTTGCATGAGGGTGGATTACCCAATATACTGAGGAGAAACGGGGCTGTAATTGGCAGTAATTCCAAGGGGAAAATGTGTGTTCAAGAATGTTCTAACCTCTTGTTTTGTGTTTCTTCCCCCCTTAACAGAGACAAGGAACCGGGSCTACAAATGGGAAAGACAAGACGTCTGGTGAGAATGGTAAGGGTTGACTTTATTTCTGGATGGAGAATGCTGAGTAAAATTGAGCCAAAATATTTTACACTGTAATGACARATGTCTGTAGTGAAGGCTTTGGTGTCATAGCTTATCTTTTGATTGTGTTTGAAAAACTGGAAGGGCTTCAGTGGGTTTGTTTCCTTTTTATTTGTATATATAAACCCTTTGCTAAAGTAGAGTCTCATTTCTGAGTGTGTACTGTGGTAAACCAAAGGACTTCAAGGAAGTCAGAGCAGAGACAAATGAGGCTAAAACAAGACCAGATCTGTGTGGAAAGGACACCAAAAGACAAGGTGAGGTATTATGAGCTGCTCCATGGATGAGGAAGGTGAAGAGAAATAAAACAGTTTCAAAAKATTTGCTCATCGAGTTTCTGTAGTCTGATTAATCCCACCTAATTTTAGGCCCAGAACTAAGATACCAAAGTTAGAATCCACTTGTGTAGAGCTCATTTGAGTGTTGCTGGGGAGAAACTATGGATGGAGCAGCTCACACGGAAGGACCAGATGGCAAAGAGGCTCTGAATTTCGTCACTGGAGTGAGTCTGGACTCATATCCACTCCTCTAAGGGGTGACTCACAGAGCTTTTTGAGACCTTAACAAAGGGGCTGGCAGAAACCAATTTCAGCCCCTTAAGTGGGACAAACAATTCTAATTAAAAAACGTTGACTTTCATTTTCCCAGAAGAATGCAAAACAGAATTTTCAAGAATACCGTAATTGTTTGGGGTTTTTCTTAGCTGAAATCTCATTTAATTTCTTATAGGAGCAGAAATGGTCAACACACAATTGATAATTGATTAAAATCTGGTTATCATCAGAAACATTTTACAAAGGAAAAGGTTAAAAAATTGGTGTTTTTTTGKTTTTTTTTTAATATACCCAGCTGAAAAAGAGGCATCATCAGAAAGAGGATTGAACGATAAAATGTGCTCTGCTTCTGTTTGCTCATCCAGCTCTAATTAAAAGAATATGTTCTGGTCTCCATCCCATCCCCTGAAAAGCAAGAAAAATCCAAGTTCTCTGAAAAGCCAAGGCTTTTTCAAATGGGTCATTTGAGCAGTCATTTTGGATATGTGTTTTGGCCTTTTAAGTGTTGGTCAGAGTAGAATTTTTGGGCCCTTAGAGTCAACACATCCGAAAACATTAGGAGCCTTCTTTATGGATAGTTTTCCTATTAYAGGGAGGTGACTTTCCCGTAAGGGCTGTTTGCATAATGTTTCAGTAAATGAAATCCGTTGATGATGCTCCCACTATGATAAAACACAAATTGGAGTGGGAAAAAAAMCCCAAATAAATATTTTGGCTTGTTATAGTGTCTTGAATTAGTGGGAACAAATGTACCCTGACAGCAAAGCAATTTGCATTCTCAAGTTAACAGGGAAGGAAAGCAAGCAAAATTATGTCAGCCATTCGGGCAGCATGGGGAGCATGTTTTTCTCTTTACTGTTTGAGCACATTATGAACTCAGCTCATTTGCCTTGAATTTCTTCCCAAATAAAAATTTCTTCCCAAATAAAATCRTCCTGTTGTCAAGTTGAGCTTAGATTTACTGATCCTGCAGCCYTTTTAAAAGCAATTTTTTTTTCTTAGTGGAGATTTTGGGTGAGCAAGGGCTGCATCATTAATTCAAAAATATATATGGGTGTAGTTGTAGCATAATTTTATGTACAGCATAAACAGGCAGATGCACARTTAATCTTGGGCAGATAGATACCAATTATTTTTTGTAATGAAATTATGGCAGAAAAGCTGTCACCTACATAAAACACAGGAGCAGCAGGGGAGATGGAATAGAGTCCTCTGATCTCCCCAGCCCACATGCTTACATAAAAATAAAGCAGAATCAGAACTTTGAACCTGAGAATGAATGCTAAATCAAAGAAGCAGGAATGTGTAACTCTTTGTCCTTATTAGCTCTGTGTGGTTAGAACTCAAGCAGTGATTTATTGCTCTGAAAATTGGGGTGTTCTGTAAACCTATACACACAATATAAATCCTCTGTTCCGTGTTTTTTTTGGCCAGAAGTCTGTAATATGTCCATGTCTTAAATATTATTAGCCTCTTCTTCAAGTGTTTGTTTCCCTGTCAAAAGGAAACTTTCCCTCTTGTTTCCCTCTTGTTGAAAGGGGGGAAGGGTGGAGAAACAAAAAACTCTTTCATCTTACAAAAAGAACAACAAAAAAAGAAAAGTCATGCTCTGAAAATGTTTGCAAAGGCAAACTGGTCTGGTTGCTGTCTTTGCTCTTGTTTACAGGTCAGGAGAAGCTGCTGAAAACTGTCCCAAACAACAAATAAAGATGCTTGGCTTTTCTCAGGGTTTGATTCACACAGTGAGGCACTGTGGGGCTGAGCTATGTTCATGCATTGCAGTAGAAAATGAATTTTGGRCCCTCCTCTAGGTTAGGTTGAAACKGAAGAAAATAAAATAATGGTAATCAGCAGTCTCCCTATTTGAAGACATGTATGGCCTTGCTGTGGCTGTGCAGCAGTCAGGGAGATTCAAGCTCTGAGGATTCCTTTTATAGCAGCGATGGTTTGGGTAGACACGAATGCATGTTCTTGTTTGACCTTCCTCAGACAGGAACAGTCTCTCCTTAATTGTRTTTGGTTCCTATCCCCACGGCAGCAGTGGCAGCTCTGAGCAAACCCTTGAGCTGCAGGGACGGTGCTGCTGTGTGCACAGGGTGGGTGAGGATGGAAGGGATGGCAGTGGGACATCTGGTGCCACCTCTCTGCTCCCAGAGCACAGGGCACAGGGCTGTGTCCAGCTGGCTCTGGAATATCCCCAGGGAGGAGACTCCAGCCCCTCTCTGGTCCCTGCCCAGGGCAGTTGTGYCTCCTGTGCAGGGGRARCTCCCTGGGCTCAGTCCCTGCCCGTCCCTCGGGTGCCATCGCTGGGTCCCCCCCGGAGCAGAGCCCGGGCCCTGCTCGGAGCCCTCCCTGCACCCAGGGACAGCCAGGGCCGAGGGCCCCTCTGGGCTGGGGCTCCTCTGGAGGCTGAGCAGCCCCGGCTCCCTCAGCCTTTCCTGGGCACGGAGCTGCTCCCGGCCCTTCCTCATCTCCGCAGCCTCGGCCGGCCCCGCTCCAGGAGCTCCCTGTCCCTGCTGGGCTCCTCTGAGGGGCCACAGCTGGACACGGCACCCAGAGGAGCCTCCCGGGCTGGCACAGGGGCAGGATCCCTCCCTGACCCGCTGGGAATGCTCTTCCCAAGGCACTCCTGGATCCCACTGGCTTTCCTGTCCCCCAGGACACTGCTGGCTCATGGACAGCTCTCTGTCCTCCAGGATCCCAGGTCCTTCTCCMGCAGGTCACCCCCAGTCTGTGCTGGTGCCTGGGGTTGTTCCGCCTCAGGTGCAGGACCTGACTTTGCCCTTGTTGAACTTCAGACCGTTCTCTGCGCACCCTTCCAGCTTATCAAGGTCCCTCTGAAGGGCTGCACAGCCCTTGGGAGGATCAGCTGCTCTTCCCAGGTTTGTATCACCATCAGATTTGCTGAGGAGGCTTCTGCCCCTTCATCCAAATCATTGGAGAACAAGGTCTGGCCCAGTACTGAACCCATAACCTCACTGGGACTTGAAGGACCCCAGTCTTCCTGAAACTAAGAGAGACTTATTTGTGAAACTGCAAACTGAATTTGTAAACCTGTTATATAATGCGGTTCTCTGTGGTAGAAAATCCAAAAGGAAGGCAGCATTACTGTTCCCACACAGCTCAGTGTGGGATAAGAAGCTGTAATTTCCTTTATGGTTACCTGGTTTGATTAGTCAGGACAATCATATTTGCAGATGCAAATATGAAAACAGAATGTTCCCCCCTGACTATTGGCAAATAAGTGATTCTTCTCTGTGACCTTGGCAATGTCACAAAGTTCCTTTGTAGGTTAACACTTGTCACTTCTTKTTCTGTTTCACATTGCCCTGTATTGTTTTTTTTTCTTGTGGTATAATTTGCAAGCTGCTCTCATGCAATCTACTCTTTAATAGCCCAGCACAACTGCCAGGGAAACAATTGCATCAGAACCAATTATTTCCATCTTCAAATTTAGAATCGCTCTTTTTCCTATTAATAGATCTCGCTCTTTCTTCTCAAAGTACATAAAGCATGTGATTATTAATTGGTATTAATAATTTTTCTTGGAAGATGAGATTTATCATTCAGTAACATGAATATTTATAATAACAAAGTGAATGTTTTCATGGGATGAATTCTATGCYTTCGTGGCTCTGAGTGAAATGAAAATGAGTTGGTTTTGCATGAACTGAGATGTCGTGGTGAATTAATCCAATCACACCAAGATGGTCAGTTGTATGGAAAAGGTGAATTCCTTCTTTTCAGTTTCTTCTCATTCCCAATCACTTGTCAGTGTGTGAATTCTGCTTTGGGGCATTCAGAAAATTATACATGAATAAATATTCTGTGTTTCATCCTGTCCATTGGATGCCTCTGTGTGAAGATGAAGATCCAGTGGAGTTAAAAAGTCAATTCTTACATTTTACATCTAAAATGGAGTCGTTTCAATCTGAATGCTTCTAGAAAACGTTAAGGGTAATGGTAAATAATTGTAAAGCAATCCTGTGTGGGAGAATAGAGATCTCTCTCTAGTAAGCTTTCCTGGTAGAGGGGTAGGCATCTTGCARTGTTATCAACAGCCCATTCACCCACTTCCTCTGCTCAAGAAATTTGGGAAATTCTTCTCACTGCACTCAAGAATGAAAAAAAAAAATTGCCAGATCCGACAGAGTGAATAATAATCTTCATAGTTATTTATGCAGAGTGCTTAACTTAATAGAGCTYCAATTCCTGGCTAGAGGCCAGGATCATTATTGTAGTATGGGCTAATATAAATATCTCTTTAAGAACTCAAAATTAATTTTCCACTAATATTCTCCAATGACTGCGTAAAAAATGTACTGTTTTTGGGAACAGCCCTACAAATAAACTWACTGATGGAAAAAACGATTTTGAGGAGGGAGTGGAACA